TGGGTATGACACCCCCCAGAATAAAGATTTTGTTTATTTCAAATAGTAGGACTGACTTTATTGATGTTTCTCCAAATGCCTATTTTTAAAGATCTAATGACATGATTAGATTACAAAAATATGGAATTTCAAGCATTTTACTTCACGCCTCTCCCCGCTAATATCTGTGCATGATCGCCACCAAAAGATGCCTCTCCTCCTTCCTCCCACCCCATTTCTTGTTGCTACCATGGTTTCACTGTCACTGTATCACTGTATCACTGTCCTCCCATTGATTTGCAAGAGGGTCCAGTAACATTGTGAGATTTGTTACTATGTTTGGCATATAGAATACATCACCGGTAGCTTGCCAGGCTTTGCCATGTGGGTGAGATACTCTCGGTAGCTTGCTGGACTCTCCGAGAGGGGCAGAGGAATTGAACTCGGGTCAGCCATGTTGGCCGCGTGCAAGGCAAACGCCCTACCCACTGTGCTATCGCTCCAGCCCATGGTTTCACTGAGTCTACTAATTTTGTTGCTATTGTTTCACCATTTTGTTCACTTTTGTTATTCACACTTCACATGTGAGTAAAACCATTCTGTTCCTGTCATTCACATCAACACTTTCCTTCACGTGGCACCATCACTTCTAATTATACCCATTTTGTTCCAATAGGTACTTTTCTCCCTTTTTCTCATTAAAAAAAATAGTGAGGTGGGGCTGGAGCAATAGTACAGCAGGTAAGGCATTTGCCTTGCAAGCAGCCAACTCGGGTTCGATTCCCAGCATCCCATATGGTCCCCCGAGCACTGCCAGTAGTAATTCCTTAGTGCAGAGCCAGGAATAACCTCTGTGCATCACCTGGTGTGACCCAAAAAGAAAAAAAAATAGTGAGGTAAATACTCATTTACCGTATACCTTTTTCACGTACAAAGTAAATTAATGTATTTGAAAGTTCAAATAGGTACTCTTTTTTAAAAGGTAGCAACCATACTCACCTATTGGGTATGTATAACCACAGTTTCTTTGATCCATTATTTTGTTGATTTAGGTTGATCCCAAGTTTTGTCTATTATGATGTTGGGTACAGATATACTTCTGAATTAGTGTTGTGGCATCTTTCAGATAAATGCCTATGAGTGGTATTGCTAAAGCATTTGGAGTTTTCTTTTTTTCATGGAAACTTCGTTCTGTTTTCCAGAGAGGCTGAACCAATTTGCTTTCCTGACTCTCAGTGTACCATATCTCCACATTCTCCCTATATCTCTTGTTTTTAACCTTTTCGATTTTACGCCCTTCTTCTAGGTGCAGAGATAACTCATTTTGATTTTTATATGCATTTCTCTGCTGACCAGACATACTGAACACTTTTGGAAATGCACTCTGACTTATTTGCATTGAAGTAACATTGCATTATAAAAGTGTCAGATGTGTGTGGTTGAAAAGCAACATGAGATCTGTTGCATCAAATCAACCACTAAAAGTCCAGTCCTCTTCTTCACCATACAATTATTCTTCCTTCACCCATTTGTTCTCTCTCCTTCTCTCTTCCCTTTTGGTAATCACTAATGGACAGACACTAAATATCTAAATATTCACATTCAAATCCAACGTGAAAGCCCTCTCTAGGTATAAGTCTCACCCTACTTTTTTTAAACTTAATGTTGACTTTCCTCAGACCTGTTGAATTACTTGAACCTTTTTTACAAGCTCTGTAATTGCTCCTTTTCTCTTCTTGAAATGCTTCATTTTCTCTTCTGTGTCAGTGTAGTTATTTTTCTAAATTGTGAAGTGTTTGTGTTTTTGTTTCCCCAGACCACCTAGTATTATGAAAATATTTGTGGATCACTATTTGAATCACAGGTAAAATAACATCACAGCACACCGCCCCCCACCCTCCAAGTTGAAAACACAGAAAGGTTGAGTGTCTATAGTGGACATTTGTAAAATTGTGAAAATAAAAGCAGATGAACTTGCCAAACTCTAGTCTCAGGGCCTCACTCTTGAAATATTAAGGATGTTGAATGAAGACAAAAAAGAAATATATACTTTCCCTGAATGAACTCATGGGACATAATAAATATCACCAAGGGGTGCAATAGCAGAATGCACAAAATTTCCACTTCACGTGAAATTTGGGGGGCAAGGGGGTAAATTATAATTTGTAGTAAGTGGAGAGGCTATCTTCAAAATAGCTCTCCGGAAAGAGTCCATGCTGGAGCACCTGGATTCACTGATTGAGGCGGCCTGCTTTGCTGTATACCATGGTTTCACTTCCAGTTCTATAAATGTGAATTCTTTGGGGGTGCCTGGATTCGCTTCTAATAGTTCATTTGTTCTCTGTAGCCCATACTTGGTTCTTCCACACTTGGGGTCAGCATCATCTGGGACTTGCTAGAAATGCGCATTCCCAAGTCCCATCTGGGAAGGGGCCTGATTAACCAACAGCTCTAAGATGGGCTGGCAATTTTTTTAAGCAGTCCTAGGGTTTTACTGTTTGTTTTTTAAATTGGTTTGTTTTGGGTTTTGACCACACCCAACCATGCTCAGAGCTTACTCTAAACTCTGCACTCAGGGACTATTCCTTATGGTGTCTGGGAGACCATATGTGTTGGTTGCCAGGGATCAAACTCCTTATCCTCTATCCTATCTCTTCAGCCCCTATAAATTCCATTTATAGAACTGGAAGAAGAAACATAAGCAGTTGAGACCACAATCCATATAGCCCCAGGGCCCCAAGATATTTGAAGGGGGGTTACAGGTGGAAATCACATAAATGGGAGATCATGGCATAAGACTTAGGGGGCCAGCCTGTAGGGTTGGGGACCACAGGAAGGTCAGAAGGCATCCATGATTGAGAAACACTGATTTAGGGAACTAGTCAGCCTCGTTGAACTTCTGGATTCCAGTCCTGATTCCAACTCTTATGAAGAGTTAAGACTTTAAAAGTTCTGACAATTCATTTCTCTCTTTGGAAAATGAGAATCGTGTCATTCTTTCACCTTTATTTAGAATAGTATTTATTATCACCTTGCATTCTTTGTAGGATGGTGTTAAGGATACAGTTGTCCCAAACATGAGAACGTGTAATAAAACTACAATGTCTTAGGCATCTGAAAATTTGAGGTTTTTTTTTTAATGTAGGAGTACTGCTATTTATTCAGCCACTGATTAGCTGATTGAATTGTGCATGAACTCCACCTTACTTTTTTTTCATTTTTTATAATTTTATTTATTGAATCACCATGAGAGCAGTTACAAAGCTTTCGGGTCTAAGTCTCGGTCATACAATGAAACACCCGTATCTTCACCAGTGCCCATTCTCCACCACCAAAAACCCCAGTATACCTCCATCCCACACCCTCCCCCTACCAGTGGGGCAGATGATTTCCACATTACTCTCTCTCTACTTTGAGCACATTCAATATTTTGACACCAGACCCACCATTATTATTTAAGATTTTACCCCAACACTCAGATCTGCTGAAAAGGCAACAGTAGACAATTTGTGTTCTATTGCTGGTTATGAATAACATATGATGTTGCGTGGCTGCAGTAGGGCCATGTGATTTTGAAATTCCGAAATTTTAACACTTAAATCTGGAGGGGTTTCTGCCAAAAGCCACTGGGTTTCGAGATTTGCTCCTGATTCTCTGTGATCATGGCCATTGAGCTGCTTGATCAGGAGCCAGAGAGGCCATTCGTGGGTGATGACTTGGGGTTTCGTTGGGGTGGGGAGGAGAGGCCCGGCTCCACCCCCATCCCGTGAGGCCCAACAAGTTTCATCACTGCGGGCCCAAGCCTGACTGTCCAATGGCCTCTGGAGGATGACGGCCACCGAGCCACCAGAGGGAAGCAGGTGGAGGGACAGCACCCTTTCCCCCCTGGGGTGGCCTGGCGACAGTAACCCAGTATGTGGTCCGGACGCATTTCTACGAAAAACTGCTGGGTTTTGAGATTTGTTTCTGAGTCTCTGGGATCATGGCCGTTAAGCAGCTTGATCAGGGGCCAGAGAGGCCGTTTGTGGGCTATGACTTGGGATCTCAGAGGGATGGGGAGGACAGGCCCGGCTCCCCCCCCCCCCCCCATCCCGTGAGGCCCAAAATGTCTCGTCACTGCGGGCCCAAACCTGACTGTCCAATGGCCTCTGGAGGATGATGGCCACCGAGCCGCCAAGGGGGAGCAGGCAGAGGGACAACACCCTTTCCCCCTGGGGTGGCCTGGCGACAGTAACATACTGTGGGGTTCGGACGCATTTCTACCAAAAGCCACTGGGTTTCGAGATTTGTTTCTGAGTCTCTGGGATCATGGCCGTTAAACAGCTTGATCAGGAGCCAGAGAGGCTGTTCGTGGGCAATGACTTGGGGTCTCGTTGGGGTGGGGAGGACAGGACCGGCTCCACCCCCATTCCGTGAGGCCCTGCGTGTCTCATCACTGGGGGCCAAAACCTGACTGTCCAGTGGCCTCTGAAGGATGGCGGCCACTGAGCTGCCAGGAGGAACAGGCCAAAGCACGAAACCTATTCCCACCTGGGTTTGTCCAGCACCGGTGACCTACTGCAGGGACCAGACGCATTTCTGCCAAAAGCCGTTGGCTTTCAAGATTTATTTCTGAGTCTCTGGGATCATGGCCTTTAAGCAGTTCAATCAGGAACCAGAGAGGACATGCCTCCAGTTATATAGCTGAGCCGGAGGTGGTTTGTGGGTGTGTTTCCCATATACCTAACTTTTGGCCGTTTACTTTCTTGGTAAACTTTGCCCCAAGTTTTTGGGGTCTTGCCAAAGGCACAGCAGCAATTTTGGGGTATCTGGAAGTCTGAAGGCACCATCAGGCTGCTGATGTACTCGCCTCACAGGTACAGATAGACCTGCTGGCGGCACCATACCCCCAGAAAATTTGAGTTTTACAAAAACAACAACAACAACAACAACAACAACAACAAAACCCAACAGCAATAACAACAACAAAAACACTCTTTTAAGGATCTAAGTGTTTTTCATCTCTTTTTCTTCCTTCAGAAATGATGCAAGAGAGAAGTACCTCGCGTTACAGCTCTAAATACGGGCTAAATCCATACTCATATGATGTTAAGCGAGCTGTATACAATGAGGAAAAGTTCCAGCAGGAACACAGAGGGAGGCTCAGTTCCACTGGGAATGTGGACATTGACATCACTACTGTCAGACACCACGTCCAGTGCAGGTACATGTGTGCGGCCCTTCTGCTGCTGTGTAGCTCAGCCATGCCCAAACCCACCTCAGTCCTCTGAATTCCTGTCATCAGATTCTGTAGATTACTGGAGAGGTAATAGCTGTAATTACCTTTTATTTGATTTGGAGGGGGTGAGGGTTACCCTGGGTGGGGTGTCAGGGATCAGGCACTTGTGAAGGGGTCTGGAGTATTGTGTAACCAAGGTTTGTGCTCTACTACTGAACCACATCCCATGTCCTTGCTCTTCATCTTCTCTCTCTCTCTCTCTCTCTCTCTCTCTCTCTCTCTCTCTCTCTGGTTGGGTTTCAGTTCTACAGTGTTCCAACACTCATTACTCCAGCAGTGTATGTTTTCCACCACCAATGTCTTCCTCCCGCTATCCCATCCCCCCATCCTGCCTCTATGACAGGCACTTTTCTTCTCTCTCTCTCTCTCTCTCTCTCTCTCTCTCTCTCTCTCTCTCTCTCTCTCCCTCCCTCCACCCCCCGCTTCGGGCATTATGGTTTGCAGTACAGATACTGAGAGGTTATCATGTTTGTTGTTTTCACCTACTTTCAGCATGCAGTTCTTATCCACAGTGATCATTTCCAACTCTCATTTTCATAGTGGTTCCTTCTCTGTCCCAACTTCCTTCTCCCCCAGCACCTGAGGCAGGCTTCCAACCATAGACCAGCTCTCCTGCCCCGTGTTTCTACTGTCTTTGGGTATTGGTCTCATACTATGGGGTTTTTTTCCCCTATGTCCCACAAATGAGTGCAACCATTCTTTGCCTGTCCCTCTCTTCTGACTCATTTCACTCAGCATCATATTCTTCATGTCCATCCATTTAGAAGTGAATTTCATGACTTCATTTTTCCTGTGGCTGCATAGTATTTCATTGTGTAGATGTACCGTAGTTTCTTTAGCCATCTGTTCTCAGGCACTCTTATTCACTTCTTTATTTTATTTAGACACCATCATATGCATCGTGACTTGCAATAGATTTTCAAACATATTATGGTCCCACCTCTGTTCCCACCACTCTGCATCCTCAACCTCTACCTCTGACCCCAGATTCCCTCCCCTCCCTCAATCTGACTCATTGGCTGCTGAATTTTTAAGTTTAACCATTGTACTTTAGGCTCCATGGTCCCAGCACTGTTGGATCTAGTGATTTATATCTATCCAGATAGTTTGTCTCTACACCTTAGAGGAGTCCATGGCCCCTGACTCTCGACCCTATGTTATGCCTCTTCTTGCTTCACCTCCTCTATTTCTGTCCTTCCTTGGCATTTTTATTTCTAAAATCTAGAGTAAGTCATGGTACCTTTCTGATTGTGAACTTTCTGTGCATGAAGACCTTCCATGCAGCCAACGTAACATCTAGGAATAATCTTGAATGAAGACAGTATTTGATTCATCACCCTAACTGGTCTCCCAACAACAACAACAACAACAACAAAAATAAAACAGCAAACTTTGTGGACAAGTAAAAGGCTGCAGGAGGGCCTCACAGCTATTCTCTGGTGCTATATTCAGTGTCTCCAACATGCACCTTCCCTTCTGATACTCACTCTTCCCGTGCAGGTCCTGTAGCTCCAAACCCCTTAATCTGCCTGTGGTTAGCCTATCTCTTAGCCATCTGGTAAATTGGAGGAATTTATGTTTAGAACATTTTGTTGTTTTCTGTTTTTAGAAACCACACCTGGTAATGCATAGGACTTACTCCTGTGCTCAAGAATCATTCTTGGCAGAGCTAGGGGGACCATATATAGTGCCGGGGATTATATCCAGGTCAGCCACGTGCAAAACATATGGATAGTACCTGCCGAACACCTCAGAACATTTTATTTTTTAAAATCAAAAACCTTTGGGGGTCAGGGTGATAGTACAGCGGGTAGAATACATGCCTTGCATGCTGCCATTCTACATTCAGTCCCAGGCACCACGTTTGGTCCCCTGAGTCCTGCCAGGAGTGTCACTGAGCACACAGTCAGGAGAAGGAACTGAGCTCAGTCAGGTGGGGCCTTATTATGCCTGTGAGAGGGGAAAATAACACCATTGCCTCATAAGGCCACGTTGAGGATTTGAAGAGAAGTTGTAGATCACTAGCAAATAGCAAACACTACATACTAGTGAGCCTTGGGGGGCAGGGGCAGGGAGGAGAAAGGAAAAAAGAAACCAACTTTGAAATCCATCTCTTTCCTTTCCACATAAGACCTCGCCTCTTTGACCATTCTCTCCCTGTTAGGCAGCAACGCCAACACTTTTCTTTCCAAAATCTTGTCGTGCCTTTGTCCAGCCTGGTACTTTCCTCTTATGCAGATGCCTTAACTGCAATCAGGATTCATAATCAAATGCTTAAAACATCTCCCTATCAGTTTTGATTTCTGTTCCTCGCACTTCCTCCTTGAAGCTTTTCAATCTTGGACCACCAGCATTTCATGCTCCTTTTTTGGGGGGGAGGGGGGTTGCTGCAAAAGAGCTTGGGTGACTCTGCCACAGAGGGGAGAGTGAACAGGACCCAGTGAAGGAACAGGAATAGGCTCTACTCTCCCTGTTCAGGGCCACAGTTGGAGAGAGCACACTTGGTGCACTGCCTAATCTCTCAAACTCTTCTGCAAAGAGCAATGCCATGCTCCTTCCAAATTGGGGCTTTGTTCTCACTCCAGCCTGGAGAGAACAGAGCAGTCTACAGGAACTGTGGCAGCAGTGGAATGCCACAGAATCCTAAACACGGATGCGGAAGTCTTGGTTCCTTGTTCCAGTTCTATCCACAGTGCTCCTGTGACTTAAGCTTGTTTGGGTCCTGGTGTTACCTTGAGGACAGCCAGACTGTGAAAATCTAGCAGAAGAGAGAGAAACAAAAACCTCTTTTCTAAGAGTACATTTCCCATCCCCCCACCCCGGCCTCCTGCCCCCAGATGCTTAAGTTCTCTCCTTGTTCTGGCCCAAGCCCAGTTTACCAGCCCCAGCATACATGTGAAAGATCCTTGCACTATTGGCTTTCAACCTGTACTAAAATATAGCAAGCAAAAGGTGATTTAAAACCAAAATTCATCTTCCCAGTGGATGGATGGTGAGTCTGCTCATTTGATAGAGAGCTTAGAGCAATTCTCAAGCTCAGAAACATCACCACCTGGAACCAGAGATTATTGCTCATAAAGCTGTTCTGTGGATTATAAGATGGTTAGTGACATTTCTGGCCTTTCTCCACCAGGTGTCTGTTGTGATGATCTTAAATATCTCCAGGCTTAACAAGTGTCCCCTGGGAAGTCAAAATGCTTTCTGGTGGTTTCAGATAACCGTTTTCAGATAACAAACAAAGCCTTGTCATACTGCTTTTTCTATACACAGTTTACTCCTCAGCACCATGACTCCACAGTATTTGTGTTAGACTAAATCTTACATATTACAGGTTCCTCTCAGAGAGCCCAGCAAGCTACCGAAAGTATCTCGCCTGCACGGCAAAGCCTGGCAAGCTACCCGTGACGTATTCGATATGCCAAACACAGGAACAAGTCTCACAATGTTACTGGGCCCGCTGGAGCAAGTCAGTGAACAACGGGAGGACAGTGACAGTAATACAGGTTAAAGCCACATACAAGTAATAGTTGGGAAAAAATTTTAGCATATGGGATCATATGAATGTGTCCCCGGCTCCTGTATCTGCCAAGATCATATCTCAGCAAGAGAAAGCAATGCTTGCTTATTTTTCCCACCTGAGACATTGGAAGGGTTCATTCTTTCCAAACATGCTGTATATACAAGCCTAATTTGTCTACTGGACTTAAAGGGTTAGTTCTTATCTATCTGTGGTGCTGTGTTCCCAGCAGGAGGTAGGGGACATGGGCAATGCCTGGAGAAAACTTTGGTTCTCACAACTGATGGAATGATGCTGTTGGCAACTTATGAATAAAGACCAAGTGTGGGACTGGAGCAATAGTACAGCGGGTAGGGCATTTGCCCCGTGTTCGATTCCCAGCATCCCATATAGTCCCCCGAGCACTGGCAGGAGTAATTCCTAAGTGCAAAGCCAGGAGTAACCCCTGTGCATAGCCGGGTGTGACCAAAAAAAACAAAAAAAAATTTTTTTTAATTAAAATTAAAAAATAAAGACCAGGTGCACAAGACAACACTATGGCAAAGAATTTTCGAGTTGAAATGGCCACAACAAATTACAGATAACAAATTGCTCTATGGTGAGCTGCACTTTTACTTGGCTATGTGGGCTTTTACCTGGGCGAAACTAATCAATTCTCTGTTCTTCTTTCTCACAGTTGCTCGTGGCACAGATTCCAAAAATGCATACTTACGTTCTTTCCCAGCCTAGAGTGGGTGTGTTTTTACCAATTCAAGGAGTGGTTTCTTGGAGACATAATTGCTGGCATAAATGTTGGCATTGTGCAAATTCCCCAAGGTAAGGAAGCTAGATATAAAGCCTTTTTGCCCACAAACAATATTTTAGACCTTGTCCACTCACTGGATATGAGGAAATGGTTTCTTGTGTTAAATGACTAGGGGGAAAAAGTGAATTCCATTCATGTTGTGACTATTTATTTTATTGCCTGCCAGACATCTAACTCATCCGGGGTGGATCCAAATGACTCAGTGATAGTTATAGACAAGTGAATTAGTTATGTACACTGCTTATAGTTTATATATATATATGTGATGGATGAAAAACTCAGCATCTGGTCTCTCCAGTCAGTTAGGCACAACTAACTCTTCAGGGGCTACTCATTGGTTTTCCAAGTCACAGGTCACACTGAAGTGACAGCTCCCACATCTTCTGAGTGTGGGAGCTATTGTGAGTGTTAGAAGTCTCATTTTCCAGATAGGAGCCAGCATCTCTTATAATTTCCTAAATTGCTGTTTCCAGTTGCCTTGCATGTGGCCAAGCTGGGTTCGATTCCTCCACCCCTCTCGGAGAGCCAGGCAAGCTACTGAGAGTATCTCTACTGTACAGCAAAGCCTGGCAAGCTCCCTGTGACATATTCGATATGCCAAAAACAGTAACAAGTGTCACAATGGAGATGTTACTGGTGCCCACGTGAGCAAATCGAACAATGAGTGCTACAGTGCTATTTCCAGAGTCCTATAAGGCAGAGTTTCAAGAGTCACTGAAATCAGATAAGACCAAAGCTAGAACTTCCCACTTGGGTATTATCATATTCCCAACCCAGACAGAGGACACTAATCAGACTTGGGAACTTTTTTTTTTTTGTTGCAGGGGAGAGGGGGCGCACACCCGGCAGTACCCATGAGCTCCTCCTGGCTCTGTGACCAAAGATCACTCCTTACTGTGCTGGGGGGTGGGGTGGGGGGGACTTTGTGGGGCCAGGGATGAAATCAGGGTCAGCTGCATGGAAAGCAAACACCTTAATTACTCTGGCCCCAGTCAGGCTCGTATTTGACCAATGTTGGCAAAACAGGTGGCAGTGCAGTTACCAGGCTTCCAGAGAAACAGCTAGAAAATTACCTCAAGACCTGATTTTTCTCCACAGAAAAAAAGAAGTTTTATCAACTCTTTCCTCAGAGGAGTTCACAAAGTCCCTTTAGAGTCTTTGAACACCTACATTTCCCTACTTTTCTGCACCCTAGCAGGCAAGGTTGAAGTTTGTGATTGTACGCGTAGACAAAGCTGAGAAAAGGCAAAAGGACTTGTGGTATCTGAAACCCGACTCTGGCTCAAGGCTGTGTGTGAGTCAGAGAAAAAGAGTGGCTCTTTAAAATTCATTCAGGGGCTGGAGCCTGGAGTGGGGCAGCCGGGGCTCTACCCCCACCCCCGTGGGCTCCCCCAAACTGCTCCACCAAGAGCATTAGTCCCTCTCAGTCGGGGCACCACCCGACCTCTGAGCTTGGGAACGATAGCACAGCGGTAGGTGGTTTGCTTTGCATGCAGCTGGCCTGGCCAGCCGAGCTAGGTTCAATTCCTCCGCCCCTCTCAGAGAGCCTGGCAAGCTACCAAGAGTATCCAGCCCACACGGCAAAGCCTGTGCAAAGCCTGGCAAGCTACCCGTGGCGTATTCTATATGCCAAACACAGTTACAAGTCTCAAAATGGAGACGTTACTGGGCCTGCTCGAGCAAATCAATGAACAACGGGAGGACAATGACAGTGACAGGGGCAGGAGCGATAGCACAGCAGGGAGGGGGAGATCCAGTGGGTCCAGATGGGGGTATCTTCCCACTGTGTAAAGGAGAGTCTCTCAGCTCCAAGGAAAAAGGACAAATGTGTCCAGAGCTCTATGTGACTGCATTGCTCTTGTTTTCTTAGTGTTAATTCTAGCAGTTGGCGACATAAATAAGAGTCCAGCAAAAACTCCTATAAACAATAAACAGTTATAGTAATGTAACAGGTTACAAAATCAATACACAGAAATCTGCTGCATTTATTTATGTTAAGGGAGCAAAAGAGTAAATTTGCTTTGTTTTGTTTTGGAGTCACACCCTACCATGCTCAGGGGTTACTTCTGGCTCTGCACTCTCCTGAGGTGCTGGGGGGACTATGGGATGCCAGGGATCAAATCTGGGTCAACTGTGTGCCAGTACCGGAGCTGCTGTACTATCTCTCCAGCCCCAAGAGAAAGAATTTTTTTTAATTATCCTAGTTACCATCATGTAAAAAAATGACAACTCAGGTATCTGTGGATCAACTTAACAAAGAGGTGAAAGATTTTTTTTTTTTTAGTGAGAACTATAAATTACTATGGAAAGAAGTTAAAAAAAAACAAGAGTGGAAACATATCCCTTATTCATGGATTGCAAGGATCGACATCATTAATTTGTCGTAATGATGTTTGTCATTAATAAAATCATTAATGACTGTCTTACTCAGAAATTTAAAGAATTCAAAGCAATCTCCATCAAATTTTCATAGCAGTCTTCAAGAACATAGAACAGATAGACGTAAAATTCATATGGAACAATAAAACTCCCAGAAGAGTCGAAGCAATTCTGAGGGAAAAGATGAAAGGCATTACCTTCCCAAACTTTGAACTATACTAGAAAGCTATACTAATAAAAAATAGCATAGTACTGGAATGAAGATAGATTAATGAACTAGAACTGAGAGTCTAGAAGTAAACCTTCAGATGTCTGGACATTTAGTTTATGGAAAAGGCACTAGGTTCATAAAGCAGAGCAAGGAAAATCTCTTTAATCAGTGGTGCTGGAAAAACTGGTTAGCCTCATGCAAAAAAAGAAAAGAAACTAAATCCCTATCTCACGCTGTACCTAAAAGTTAATTCAAAATAAACCATAGCTAAAAGATATTGAGGAAAACATAGCAGAACTCTCTACAATATTGACTTTGGAGGAGTTTTCAATGAGATTTGAGAAAATAAAAGCAGAAATAAGCAGATGGAACTACATCAATTACTAAAAAACTTCCACCACGACCACCCTGTTGTTCGTCGATTGCCTCGAGTAGGTGCCAGTAACGTCTTCTTCGTCCTAGCCCTGAGATTTTTTTTTTTAAAGTGCCATATTCAAGGCTTTTTCAGGGTTAGGAGAATGAGACCCATCATTGTTACTGGTATTTGGCATATTGGGTATACCACGGGGAGTTTGCCAAACTCTGCCGTGTGGGTAGGTTACATTTGGTAGCCTGCCAGTTTGTCCAAAGTAGGAATGAGATGATAAGATGATAAGCTTCCGGGAGCTGAGTGTGATAATCTCTGGATCCTGGCCGTTGTTGGAGTTACATGGCAGTTGGTGGGTGTAACTGTCTAGTTACTGGCAGGTCCAGTCCCAAACCATGCAGGCTTGGAGATCTCAGCCCCGGGTCCCACACACCTGGGTTCCTCTGCCAGTTCTTTTATGCGTGAGGCTCATCCAAGTGTGTGGAGAGTGGTCCCAGCATGGCCTTGGCTGGGGCTCGGAGGTCTTCAGCTGTTGGGCCCTGGTGGAGACAGTCAGGCACAGGGTAGGAGACTCTGCCTTGTTCTCTCCCGGGAGCTGAGTGTGATAATCTCTGGATCCTGGTCGTTGTTGGAGTTACACGGCAGTTGGTGGTGTAACTGTCTAGTTAATGGCAGGTCCAGTCCCAAACCGTGCAGGCTTGGAGATCTCAGTCCCGGGTCCCCCACACCTGGGACTACAAAAAACTTCAGTACTACAAAATAAATGAGGTCTAAATAAAATAACACCTTACTGATTAGGGAGAAAACATTTTCCCATGATACACAGGGCAAAGGGCTCATATCCAAGAAACAAAGAGCACTTGTTTACAAAGCTTAACAAACAAAACAAAAATGGAAAAGTCAGGATATAAGCTTAAAGACACTTCTCTTAAAGATGGCATGAAGATCCAATGACAGATGAATGGATTATGAAGATGTAGTATTTATGCACAGCAGAATACTATGCAGCTGCAAGAAATTATAAAAATCATGTAATTTGCTGCAACTTGGATGGAACTGGAAGATATAACGTTGAATGCAGTAAGCTAGAAGAAGAAAGACAACAGGATGATCTCACTTATTGTGGAATATAGAAAAGTGGATGAGTGGATGATGAAATATCTTGTAGTAAAGGGGGATGCTTAGACTATCCTTTTTTTTTTTGTTTAGATCATCCTTGACCCCAGTTTAGAGAGGACATAGACAGAGAAGAAAAGAAAATCAAAGTGGGGAAGAAAATAACAAGATATGGATTAGTAGGCATCAGGGCTTCAGTTATACCATTGATATGAGTGAGGGATATAGCCTTATATCCAAAACACCGATTGAACAGAACTGAAAACGTTAGACCTAAGTGACAACCACTGAAACTTCGTAATGTGCCTGTAAAATTCACGGATTGGGGTGGAGTAAGGGTTGGATGGGGAGGAAATCTGGGAACACTAGTGGAAGGAAGTTGACACTGGTGGAGAGATTGGTTGAATTATGGAATAGCTAAAGTGAAATCATCAGTAACTTTGTAAATCGTGGCTCTTTTTTAAATTTATTTATTTTTTTTTATTAGTGAGACATCATGAGGTACAGTTGCAGTCTTATAAATTTTTGTGCTTGGGTTTCAATTACACAATGATCAAATACCCATCCCTCCACCAGTGCCCATTTCCCACCACCATGGATCCCAGTATCCCTCCCACCCTCCATCCCCCCCATCCCACCCTGCCTCTGTGGCAGGGCATTCCCTTTTGTTCTCTCTCTCTTATTGGGTGTTGTGGTTTGCAAAAGAGGCAATGGGTGACAATCATGTTTGGTCTATAGTCTACTTTCAGCATGCTTCTCCCATCCTGGGAGGATCCTCCCAGCACCTTTATTTGGTGTTCCCTTCTCTGAGCTCCCTTTCCCCCTAGCATGTGTGGTTGGCCTCCAAGCCATGGAGTAAAATTCCTGGTACTAATCTCGGCCATTCTTGGGTGTTAGTCTCCTATTTTGTTACTTTATGTTCCCCAGATGAATGCAAT